CCCAAAATCCCCAAATTTCCCCCAAAATTCCCCAATTTCCGCTCACCTGCAGCACGAAGGCGCCGCAGTCGCTGTCGTTGTTCTGCCGGGCCACGTTCTGGGGGAAAAAACCCAAATTTGGGGATTTTGGGGAATTCTTGGAATTTTGGGGGTTTTTCGGGGGGAATTTTTTTGGTTTTTTAGGGAATTTTTTGGGATTTTTTTGGAGCTAATTGGGGATTTTCTGGAGTTTTTTTAGGGGATTTTTGGGGGATTTTTTGGGGTTATTTTGGGATTTTTTTGGGGTTTTCAGGGATTTTTTGGGATTTTTTTCAGGGTTTTTAGGGAATTTTTGGGTTTTTTTGGGGGGATTTTTTAGGGGTTTTAGGGGATTTTTTGGGATTTTTAAGGGGATTTTTGGGGGATTTTTTGGGGTTATTTTCGGGATTTTTTGGGATTTTTAAGGGGATTTTTTTGGAGATTATTTTGGGATTTTTTTTTGGTTTTTAGAGAATTTTTGGGGTTTTGGGGGGGATTTTTTTGGGATTTTTTTGGGGGGGATTTTTAAGGGGATTTTTCAGAATTTTTTGGGGATTTTTTAGGGTTTTTAAGGAATTTTTGGGGGATTTTTAAGGGGATTTTTTGGGGATTTTTTAGGGTTTTTAAGGAATTTTTGGGGGATTTTTAAGGGGATTTTTTGGGGATTTTTTGGGGGGATTTTTGGGGATTTTGGAGGATTTTTTGGAGTTTTCAAAGGGAATTTTTGGGGGTATTTTTTGGGAATTATTGGGCGGATTTTTTGGGGTTTTTTTGGGGCATTTTTGAGCCATTTTCAAGGGATTTTCTTGCGCACCAAAAATGTGAATTTTGGGGGATTTTTTCTCTCTCTTGCCCATTTTTGGGGGATTTTTTTAAAAATTTTTTTGGATTTTCGTGGGATTTTCATGGGATTTTTGGACCGTTTCCGGGCCCGTTTTTGGGTGGATTTCAGGGCATTTTGGGGGGGATTTTCAGGGGATTCTTTGCACATCAAAAATGTGAATTTTGGGGGATTTTTTCGCTCTTTTGCCCTTTTTTTTAGGGATTTTTTTGGAATTTTTTTTTTGTATTTTCGTGGGATTTTCGGACCATTTCCGGGCCCGTTTTTGGGTGGATTTCGGGGCATTTTGGGGGGGATTTTCAGGGGATATTTTTGCACACCAAAAATGTGAATTTTGGGGGATTTTTTCTCTCTCTTGCCTTTTTTTTTAGGGATTTTTTTGGAATTTTTTTTTTTATTTTCGTGGGATTTTCGGGAGATTTCCGGGCCATTTCCGGGCCCGTTTTTGGGTGGATTTCAGGGCATTTTGGGTGGGATTTTCAGGGGATTTTTTGCACACCAAAAATGTGAATTTTGGGGGATTTTTGGGGGGATTTTTTCTCTCTCTTGCCCTTTTTCTTAGGGATTTTTTTAGGAATTTTTTTTTGTATTTTCGTGGGATTTTCGTGGGATTTTTGGACCGTTTCCGGGCCCGTTTTTGGGTGGATTTCGGGGGATTTTGGGGGGGATTCTCATACGATTCTTTGCACACCAAAAATGTGAATTTTGGGGGATTTTTTCTCTCTCTTGCCCTTTTTTTTGGGGATTCTTTTAGGAACTTTTTTTTGGATTTTCGTGGGATTTTCGTGGGATTTTCGGACCATTTCCGGGCCTGCTTTTGGGTGGATTTCAGGGCATTTTGGGGGGGATTCTCATAGGATTTTTTGCACACCAAAAATGTGAATTTTGGGGGATTTTTTCTCTCTCTTGCCCTTTTTTTTGGGGATTTTTTTAGGAATTTTTTTTTGGATTTTAGTGGGATTTTCGTGGGATTTTTGGAGCGTTTCCAGGCCCGTTTTTGGGTGGATTTCGGGGCATTTTTGGGGGATTTTCAGGGGATTTTTTACACACCAAAAATGTGAATTTTGGGGGATTTTTTCGCTCTTTTGCCCTTTTTTTTGGGGATTTTTTTAGGAATTTTTTTTTGGATTTTCGTGGGATTTTTGTGGGATTTTTGGACCGTTTCCAGGCCCGTTTTTGGGTGGATTTCGGGGGATTTTGGGTCCCCTCTGACCATTTTGAAGGCGCCCCGCCAGCCCTCGCGGAAATCCGGCCGCTCCTTCTTGTCCGCCTCGGCCTGGAGGTAGCGGCAGATGTGCTGGGGGCGGGGCCAAAGGGGGCGTGGTCAGGGGCGTGGCTAAGCCCGCTGGCCACGCCCCTCCGAGCTCTGCAGGCCACGCCCACTCCGCGCAAGCCACGCCCCTTCGTTGTGAAGCCACGCCCACTAAACGGGAGGCCACGCCCATTTTCGCAGCGAGGCCCCGCCCACTCATTAAGCCACGCCCATTTTAACTAAATTATGTTCCACCCACTCATTAAGCCACGCCCATTTTAACTAAATGAGGCTCCGCCCACTCATTAAGCCTCACCAATTAGGATCCACCCATTCATTAAGCCACGCCCATTTTAACTAAATGATGCTCTGCCCACTCANCACACCAAAAATGTGAATTTTGGGGGATTTTTTCTCTCTCTTGCCCTTTTTTTTGGGGATTTTTTTAGGAATTTTTTTTTGGATTTTCGTGGGATTTTCGGGAGATTTTTGGACCATTTCCAGGCCCGTTTTTGGGTGGATTTCGGGGCATTTTGGGTCCCCTCTGACCATTTTGAAGGCGCCCCGCCAGCCCTCGCGGAAATCCGGCCGCTCCTTCTTGTCCGCCTCGGCCTGGAGGTAGCGGCAGATGTGCTGGGGGCGGGGCCAAAGGGGGCGTGGTCAGGGGGCGTGGCCAAGACCGCTGACCACGCCCCCTCCAGGATATACACGCCACGCCCACTCCACGCAAGCCACGCCCCTTCGTTGTGAAGCCACGCCCACTAAACGGGAAGCCACGCCCATTTTCACAGCGAGGCTCCGCCCACTAAGCCACGCCCATTTGTTAGAATAGCCACGCCCCTTGTTAGAATAGCCACGCCCCTTGTTAGAATGGCCACGCCCCCTTTTGACGCAAACCCCTCCCATTTAACCCTTCCCGTGCCAAAATTAACCAAATTTAACCCCCAAAAAAACCAAGGGGTGGAGACCAAACAAAACCAAATCCGCCCAAATTTAAATCCCATGGCCACGCCCCTTATTAGAGTAACCACGCCCCTTTTGGGAAGCCACGCCCCCTTTTTGACCCCTACCCCTCCCATTTAACCC